TAATCACTTCTGCTTTAGTCAAGGCATTGCAATTAAAGTAGACACACGACATCAAAAGCTGTCCTTCCTCTTGGACCTGCCTTAATTCCAGCACCTTGGGGACTGAAAGCTGGCACAGCCGGCGTGCCAGAGATACTCCCACAGCTTGGCTGGTGTGCACCAAGAGGACTCTGTCTGCAGTCCCCATGGTCACATCCAGGACAAACAGCTTGTGATCCTTGAGCAGACCCCTAAAGGGAGAAGAGAAGGGCAGGGATGCAGGCACAGCCTTTGCCCCCAGCCCAGGGGAGCAGCTGCTCAAACACAGTCCAGCGGGACTGTCTGTGCTGCCGGGTGTGTGTGGGGGGTGGGGATCACCTCCCAGAAATACAGCTGTCAGGAACCCAGCGCCAGCAGGCCCAGGAGTTGGTCCTGGAAATCAACCATCCAATACCCAATACACAGAAAGCTTTGAATAACTGTGGCTATCCTGGCAAAGACTGTGCCCTGTGCATCCATTTCTTTTAAGAATCCTTGTCTTGGAAAAGGAGAGTTTCTCATAGGCAAGACTTTTCCAGGAGAAAAGGCACCAGGCAGTTTTGAGAGAGGAAACCTTCACCTAGCACAGGGATCCAGCTGCACAACAAACAGTTTCTTGTTGAACAGCATGCTTTAGGAATGGTACTCCCCAGTTTAGTGTTCCCACTGAAACTCCAAACCCCTGCTCGCTCACTCCATCCCTTTCCCCCCCCCCACTCCCTGCTGCAGCAGATTGGAGAATTGGAGGCACAAAAGGCGAAGGTCACAAGCTGAGAGAAGAATTTACTGGAAACAGCAATGAGATAAGAAAAGGAACAGGAGCAGCAACAATACTAATGCCAGATAGTAGAAGAAAAGAACAAATCCACAGGAAAACAAGCCCAAATAATGGAAAATACGGGAGCCCTCCCTCCACCATGTTTTCTTGACTGAAAGGAATCCCTTCTGGCTGGAAGAGAGCCCCTTTCCCCTGCCTCCAGCAAGGATGGGAGGTGACAGAGAATAACCTCCATGTCCTAGTCCCCTCACAGCTCCTGCAGACAATTAACCCTGTCCTGGCCAGAACCAGGACATCTAGTTTTTCTTGGTTGCATTGGTTTAAGAAAGGAAGAGGGTGGAGGGAGGGACAGATGTCATGACCCATGGGTAGGGTCATGAGGTTCGTTACAACTTCTCTTCAGGCTGAGCAAAGATACTAGACCATGGGTCAGGGAACTCTTGGGCTTTACTGTGGAGTCACATTGGGCTGGTGCCCACTAGTGAGACTCCAAAGGTGGTGGCTGACAAGACCTGAAATTTGTACAGTAGACTTCCACAAGTGGTGGTTAACAAGACCATAATTTTGTACGGTACAATTGTACAGTACAGCTTCAATAAGCTCTCAAGTCCTCACAAGAAACTTAAAGGTTTATTTTGGTGGAAACTGAGAATTTTTAGCCTGGCAAATTTCCATTCCCTGCAGGCTGTGATAAGCAGATATAAACACATGCAGAGATTTCTGCATGATTCCAACGTCCACCTTTTGTCTACAGTATCAGTTTGCTTTCAGAGTCTTGACAGGATTATAAAAACACAAGTAGAAAAGAGCATGAAATAGTTCTGCTTCGGTTCTTTACATCATCATTCTACTTGAACAGTTTTGCATGAGCATCATCTCTCTTGCCAGGCTTTTCTACTGATAGTTACAGTATGTGGTTTTTTAAAGCTGTGTTGCCAAAAGCAAATGGTTTTGAATTTTTATGTGGCTTTGAGTTCAAGTATTTTCCTTTTCTCTGCATGTTAATTCCCACTCATATCACTAGGGATCTACCATGTATTACAGGACTTTTCACAGGAATTCACTTCATCTAATGTTAAGCTTTAGATGTATCTTTCTGGTCAGTTCATTAATACTTAAAATTTCTGCAGTTTGAAATACAGGAGCCAGGGAATACAAGCAGTGTAAGGAAGGCTCCTGGGGAGCTTCTTCTAGGAAAGGCAGAAATGTGTACGCAGTCCAAGCCTCAGGGTTGTGTAGAGGGAGGAAGGCACTGTGTGTATCTCTCCATTTGCATGTCAGAGCACGTTTCCACTGATCTATGTGATCAGTCATGTTCCTCACCCTTAGAATCACCGTTAAATATTTCTTCTCCTGAGCATCTGCAAAGACATTTAGTAGGGATGTTGTGTGGACCAAGTGAAATTTTCTCAGCATCTGCACCTTCCACATGAAGTATTTCATATGCGAAATATTACTGCCTCAAAATTCCCCTTCAAATATTCTGCTTTCAAAATTTTCAATTGCAAGTCATCTCCATTTGCATTTCACACGTCCCCAGGCTGGGCTTACGGTCCAGCAGCTGTTCTTTATGGCACTACTGCTACATGTGCAGCTTTCCCTCTTCGGCAGAGAGGGAGGAGGGAACTAAAGAGGATGTGGACTCATGAAACCACTGCTCTCCTACAATCCTTTATGCAGAGGACAAGCAGAGAAACCAATAGTTGCAGTGGAAAAAAAAAATCTGCTCTTCCAGCAGCAAGGCAGCTGCTGTTACTTGTGAACACACAGTGTGCAGCAATAAGCAACAAGTAAATACCCTGCTCCACCAAGCGTCTGCAATTTGATATGCCACTCTGGGAAAGACAGAAAAAGGTTTTGCTGAAATCCATCCGCCTGTGACTGCAAACGGATCATCATTCCCTATCCCTGCTCAGATGGCAGGGGAACAAACTGCCTCGAGGTACAAGAGGCAAATTACTTGAAACACTTGGCTGCAGCACAGGGCAGTGTTGTGAGGAGAAAGACGGATGGTATGCTGACATGATAGGAATACAACTTTCCCCCCCAAAAAAGCAGCTGGAATGCCACTTCAGTTTGGCAACTTCAGTTTTTTCTTCAAAAGGTTTTTCCACTCCCATGATGGGGCACAAAATATTTTTCTCATGATATTCTATAACATCATTACTGTTTCCATTTTTTATACGCAAAAAGGTAGAACAGATGTTTAAAAAAAAGAAAAAAGAGTCAATTTTTTTTTTTTAAAGTTAGGATTATTTTTTTAAAATATTAAAAAGGCAAAATTTCTATCAAAGTATTTTCTTCTAATTTTAGGGAACTTCCCCAGCAGAAAACATTTCTGTACAGACAGTGCAGTATGTTCTCCATCTACACACCACAGTAGTTTTACACCCACTCCCCAAAACAGCTTTCACTCCACAAGAGGCAAGAACTGTGCTTCTGATAAGGTTTTACTTAAATTACGTTTACCATAGCTCATTAAACATTTTTATTACCTCTGGTAAGTAACTTCCTGCAAGCAAAACTATCATTCCTGTTCCTTTAGTTATGGATTTTATTTCCACTACAGTGCTTGTTCACATTAGGTCAAACTAACACAACATTTAATTCCTGTGCACCAACCCTTAGGCTGTATCACAAAATTACATTAAATTGTTGCTTGGTTTTGACTTCTGATAGAAGCTGTGGGGGAAAATACAACATAATATAATATAGGCAAATTGAGTGGTAATTCTGTATTTTTACAGCTGAAATTATTTTTTTTTTTTGAGTTGCAGAAGGGGGAACAAAAAGGGGTGATGCATCAGCCCTGCCCATCTCGCTGGACAGATGAGAAAGGAGCTGTTTGAAGACAGGGCTGATCCAAGGAACAAATGTGCTCCCAGGCTGAGGGTGGATCTGTCAGCTTTTGCATAAAGAGAGGAGAGGAAAAGGGAGAGATGGAGAGACCTTCTTTCCTTGAAATTCTTAGGCAGGCTAAGGGAAGGACCAGACACTGATTGTAACACTCAGCCCACAACCACAGGTACAGGAGGAATTTCAGCAAACTTGCACCTGTACTTAATAAGATAAATCAATGTCATTTTTATCAGACATCAGTATCAATTGGGAAAAAAAAACCCACTACTTAATTTTAAGCAAAACCTTTATTTTAGTTCAAAGGCTTGTTTGTATTAAAACCAGTTACTTCAAAATCAAATTCACATAAAATTCAACATGTAAATAAACTGAAGTTGTCATTGGTCATGATCCATTTCTGAAAGACAAGGGCTCCAAATGGCATTTTAAACAACTTGCATGGCAACAGATAAAACTGGGACAGCAGGAGCATCTCTGAGTTTACAGACTGAGAAGCTGAACTGTCCCCACTCGCTTCAGTACATTTTAAAACACCACCTGCAAACCAGTGCCATTTAATGATTTCTCTATTTCCCATAAATTCACTCAGAAATGATTAAAAAAAGCATCCCAGTTTAATCTGCTACTTCACAGGACTAAATTCTTTTGAGTCTTGTTACAGGCACTGCTATTTGCTGCCAGCAAGCAAAGTACTTGTCTTAAAACATTTTCCTTACAACACCAACAATCAAGCTACATTATATACAGTTCAATTGTACAATTATCTTTAAAAAATGCCCATGTACAAAATAGAGGGTTATTTTATTTTTAAAAGAAATCGCATGCTAGATTTCAATTACATCAATATTTTAGAAGAATTTTTTAAAAAAAATTGATAAATAACATTCCAATTCATTCGGAACAATCCTGCAAGCAAGTGCAGAGGTACCTGCACTATATTTAATATTCTAATATGCTTTTTAGGGCAATTTGTGCTATAAACCTCACGTGCGAAGTATGTGAAAAGCTCTTACTTGTGACAATAGAATAGAAGCTACTTAATTAATGCAAGAGTATTTCAGCAAAATTATTCTACTTATGAAGTAAATACCAGAAGGGCATCTCATTTACAGCCAGTTAGACAAAGAACACAACTAGTGACCAGAACACATACATTAGTCAAAAAGTCAAATATATACAAAAATATATTAGAAAGTGGTTGAGTTTAACCACAGGCTCATGTAAAAAATGTTGTTTTAAATAGCAATAGCAAAAAAATAGCTATTTCTCTATCTGCAACAGTACAAAAGGCAACACCTACATATGAGGTAGCAATGCCAAATTAAAAAAAACCAACAACTTTGGATTGAGGAGCAATTCCTATATTTTCATAGCGTATCTGTCAATACAAATATTTAAATGAACACTTCAATTGTTTCAAGAACTACAACATTAATTTACAAAAACCTTTTTTCAATGAACATTTTTTTTAAAAATTACTGGAAATTGGTTTAGTTACTGATTTCTTCTGCTTCTAAAAAAGCTGTTGCATTTTCAAACCCAAACACTGTACAGAAAAAACGTGGAGGCTTTATTATACACACTTGGTAAACGCTATGGTACATTAAGACATAATTTACAAAGATCAGAATAAGCTGACTGTGGTCATTTGATCCTTTTCTGTCTAATGTGCATTCACTGCACACTTTTGCTACCCCCTGTTCAATGCTAGAGGCAGGACAAGGGTTCACTGCTCACTTCCACAGCTCTGCCCACAGCCAAAGCAAGTGCTTGTATCATCTACTTTCAGGAGTCTGAGCCAGAAGCATGGTTTCCATCCAGGGCCAGGGGCACTACCAGGCAGCAGCTTCAGAGCTCCCCTCAGTCTGTGCTGAAACTGCCTCAAGAATGGGACTGGAGGAGGGGACAGCTGTGCCCCTTCCCTTCTCCCAGTTCTAAATCCCTCAGTCCCTCCTGTAGATGCAGGGCAGGAGTAGTCACCTGAGCCTCCCTGATCAAAAAAAATCCCATTAATGAAAAGCCAGGAGGGGAACAACCACCTAGCTGAGCTGTGCCAGCTCTAGGCCTGGGGCTGCAGGCCCCTCATGTGGGTCAAATCCTCTGCTGCCAGCTCACTGACCAAAAAGACCCTGCTGCTCCTCCAATTCAGGCAACTAAATTGGACATCTGAAGTCAGATGGTACAAGTAACACCAAAAAATGAACTGGATGGAATTTCAGCATTTATTGTATTAAGAAAATAATATACTTTACATCACAGTGCTTAATTAAACGCAATAAAAAAAAAAAAATGTAAACTCGGAATTCTAGATAAAATTTAGCTTGAAAAATTAGGGCTCCAAGAGTTTTTAAAATTCACAATATTTTAAGAATTGAAGTCACAGCCAGTCAGTTCACATAACTCATGTATTTAAGCTTACTTGTAAATACCTTTGACGCACTCCAAAGTTTGGCCTTTTTTTTTGTTTGTTTGTTTTTAAAAGCCTAAATGACAAATAACCAAGTGCAAAGGTAAGAGGTATATTTTATCTGCAAAGAAACTAACTTTAGAAGTTACTTTCCAATCAGGAATCTGGAGTGCTCTAGTAGATGTAAGGAAATATGCGGTATGGTACACGCTGGCAATACCTTTCCCATGCCAAGCCATATTTTTGCTTACAATGATGTTCATCACGAGCTTCTCGATGAACAAGCAAGCAGATGAAATATATCACGTAGAAATACGGCAAAATGTGGTTAAAACCTGTAAAGTAAAGTGAGAAGTTCAATTTGGATACACAAAAAAAAAAAAAAATCCAGAGATGTTGGATATTAACATGTATTAAGGTGGTGACACACACTTGTTAAAGACTTATATTCCTAAAGCATCAAACACTCAACAGGACAGTTGTGTGACATGTTTACATGCAGACAGGAAAAGACCCACAAATCCACAAAAAGTCATCCTAAAAATTTAAAGTCACAAAATCTACCAACTTCACTCTCAATGCATGCAAAGTTTATCAAACCCACATTTTTTCTAGTTAAACCTCTGCAGCACTGAACTGCCCCACACAAGGTTTTCTCTATTTTTGCTGTAGACGTGAGTCCAGCTTTGCTCAGACCACAGTATTTGACTTGTAGGTGGAAGAAGCTGGAAAATGACCCAGAAACGTGTGACTGCAGCCCAGAAAGCCAAAAATTCTGGGCTGCAGCAAGAGAAGTGTGGCCAGTAGGTCGAAGGAGCTGATTCTGCCCCACTGCTCTGGTGTCCTGAGACCCCACCTGGAGTGCTGTGCCCAGCTCTGGGGTTCCCAGTGGAAGGAAGAGTGTGTATTCACTGACCAAAATTGAGACAGAATTTCACTCCTTTGTGTCTGATGACTTTTTTTTTTTTTAAATGTATTTTGCTCAGTCATCCTTACATGTGGTAGCCCCTGGTGCACAAGCAAACTCCCACTTTTGGGGAACTTCATTTAAGAACACTATAGCACACCCACTAGCCTAAAAAATTTAAGGAACAACTACTTAGTAAGCAAGTCCCATCGTTATGATAAAGTGTTAGAAAGACAAGTAAAATCTATAGTATGTCAAATGTACAGCAAGATAGAAAGGGTAAGATGAAAGAGAAAATAGGTGTTGCATTAAACTTATGACACAGAAATTGGCCATTCAGTGGGTTATAGGGTTTAGTATCCCAAATAATTATCACTTTACATTTCAAATCCAGCCAGATGCCAAAACATAAAAGCATTTTTTACAAAATCCACTTTAGTTTCAGAAACTTACCACAGGGTAGGGACCATGCTAGAGCCATGATGATATCTCCGAGATAATTAGGGTGACGAACAAAACCCCACCAACCCGTAACAAGAAGCCCTTTTCCAGTTGCAGTGGGTATAAATTTCAGATCTGTGAATAGAGTATTGTAGTCAGTACAACAGTTGAAATATATATTTAAATACCACAAAGACACACTGTATAGCAACTGAATAAGAAATGTACTTACTGGCCAATTTGGGATCTGCGGGATTCCTTCGGAAATTATTTTTCTGAGAATTTGCACTACGGAATATGTAATACCCAATACCTGAAAATAAATATGATTTATTTTGCATTTTCAGTACTTTCCAGTTTTCTTTGCTTCAACAAAAGAACTCACTCTTATCATTTAAGCCTTTTCCTCAGAGATGCAACTGATATTTTCTCCCAGAATTTTCTTCACAGAATTCTAACAAGATAGAAATGCCATCGGAAACCTGCTCTTACAGCTTACTAACTTTTATAAGATTTTGGAGAAGCTTTTTTTTCACATCTATTTTTTACATTTGTATCTGATATAGTTTATTAATGTAACACTGAGTGTGAAATTCACATAAAAGGTAATGTGCTGCATTTTGTAAAATAACAGCTCTTTTAGCAGCCCAGTATTTTGCTAGTGCCTACACTGTAAATTGACCAACTATTTACAAGTTCACAGCAATAAAAGAACCAGACAATGAACTATCTGATTTTGAAATTAATTTCCCCCATCATTTTCACACAGCAGGTTAAATTTGCTTTTACCAAGGCTGTACTGAGAAAAGATGATCACAATATATTTCAAATAATGACGTTCTTAAAAGAAAAAAAAGTAAAAACCCAAGAAAAAACATTAACTGAAGATGAAAAAATGCTGTCGTATTTCTCAGTATTGCACATTTTAAGTTGTACCCCTTTTTCTTTTTTTCAAGTGTTTAAATTCTTTGCCATGTCTACAAAAAACAGGCAGGTTTTTAAGGTTTACTATTCAGGTAAAAGGGACAAATTACAAGGCTATGTTGGTGCAAACTTAAGGTTGCCTAAAGAGGAGAGGTAAGATCCTTTCTCTAAGCAAGATCCTTTCTCAAAGCACTCTGCTAGAAAAAAAGATGTTTTCCTTTGACATGTGTGTGTAACTGGGGCATCAGGGAAGGAGATGCAAACACAGAACCCAGGGAAAAAGTAAAGCACAACCCACAAAGCACTGACTTCTTTTCTGAGTCACGCACAGTCATTCAGATTAACAGATATGTTTGAAAGTCAAATTCAAAACATTTCAAGTCACTTAACTCCAGAGAGCATCCACCTAAAGATGCCTCTCAACAGAACAATAAGGTGTTCAGAGTCTCATCTACCCTTCATTTAATAAATATATTCATTAAATAGTAGCAAGGCCCATGTATCCACCAGCTCTAATACAGACAATATGATCACTGCATCTGAGCTAAAGCTCCATCTCACATCTCAAAGAAACAAAATCAGTACTAGTTTGTAACAGTAACATTTACTGTAACTTACAGTTCACAACAGTAATTGCGGCAGCAACAGGCCAAGAAATCACAGTAGGATGACCCACTAAATAGAAGGCCTGCAGACTGTAGACAAATGGAACCCACACCAAATCTCCAAATGCCAGCATGAATCCAAATCCATCATGGGTGATGTCCATTGTAGTCAAAACGGCTTCCTAAAAGCAAGGAGGAAGGAATTTAGAATTTTAAAAGCCTCCTTCACTGGACACTGTACTTAGAAATGCTAACACAGTTTAACCAGATTGTCATTTACCTCGTTCCAAAGAGCATCCACCACGTACAGAAGCTGAAAGCTGTTCACAAGTATCATTGACAGGGATGGCATACTTAGATTGTGTATCTTCATCTCAGCCAAGAGCATTGCCAAGTTTATAACAACCTAGTTTAGAAAATATTTTATTTTAAAATTTCCTTGTTTCAAGTGGTCTTTTCAGTTAGACTATAGGACACTTTAACACAGGTATTTTTGAACAACGTTTGAGTTTAAAAAAAAAAAGCACTACAGTTTGCAAGTAACCACATTTCTGAAGCCACATAACCTCAACATAATGAATACTTAAAGAAGGGTTTTCATTTCCCACAAAGCAAAGAAGCTAGAAATCTCCCTAAAGTGAATAAAAATGGTCATTAAAAATTTGGCAACGTGTAAACGTTTTTCAGTAGTTCCCCCCCCCCCCCTTTATAAATATATATAAAATCCTTAATACCAACTATACATAAAAAAACAAGATCTCCACGTAATATTTAAGCAAATAAAATCACCAGGATTACTGACTCACCCAGCCAATTAATCCTGGACGCAGCTCACAGAAGTATTTGAGGTCAAAGCTGCCAATACGAGGGTTTAATTCATGTCCAGTGAAAAAATCATAAATGAAATACCCTGTGGAAAAGACACAGCCTCTGTTAGCAATACTGTTACTTTCATCTGCCACTACACTCAGCACCACAAGTAAGATCCTACTTTTCATTAATGCTCTCTCATTATCAGTTTTTAAAAGCCTTTATATTGGAAAAAAAATGAAGAGTATATGCAAAATACAAAGCAAAATCCATACACTTGGTATTTTAAGACGCCCAAATATTTTATTTATTAGGAGGACTAAACACTTTAGAAGTTACTATTGGCTTATTTCTCCCTGACACTTGTTCCTTATTTTCAGCCTCATCCTGAAGCTCACATCACAGTCTCCATGAACATGATCTTCTGGCATTAATTAATTCTACTTTCCCTCCTATTTCATTGCTTTTTTCTGGGAGAAAAAATTCCCTTAGCTATGATTACCTGTTCACTAAAAGAGATGAAGAAGCAAAATTCCTGGACTTCAAGATACCCTGGACTGAGTTAGCAAAAAAATAAGCACTTTGCAGAACACTTACTGAATGCTACTATGCTACCTGCAGAGACTAGAACTGCACTTTTTGAAGAAAAAAAAATGATAATTTATTTCCCTTCACACACATAACATGCTGCACTGACAACAGAACTAAGGGTATTTGAATACTTCATTGTAATACACTAAGTTTTCTGTCCATAAACATCCCTTCTTAGTCACCCTATGGACATTTATAAAAGCAGTTTCAATGCTAACAGATTTCTCAATCTATCCTTTGTCCTACAAAAACATATGCATATAATTGATACTTTTTAGGAAGGCAGTCTCATGACTGAACCAAAATCTTTTTTGAAAACTCCATTCAGTTAAATAGATTTAAAAGTATGTGCAAAATAAAAGTTTAGAAACACAATGTAATTTTAAGTTCTGTACCTGACTTCCCACTGACAAAATATTTACATTTTTTAGGGGTTTTTTTCAATTCTCAGTTGTTTCAAGAAAAGGCAGGGGCACTATGAAGCAAACTACACAAGCCTCTCAGACAAAAACATACTGAAAACTGAAAGGAAAGAACTGTCCTCTCATCACAGGGGACTAGACCAGCCAAGATATTATTCCATAGAAAATCCAACTAAAATTTTAAGCATTTTAGAGTATCCAAGTGAGAACAAAAATTTGCCAGTTAACTTTTAATATTATCTTTAACATTTGTAGAAATCAAAAGTCAAAGTATTATATTCAAAATCCTAAATCCTACGCTTTAATTCATAAAAATGAAACTGTAGCAGACAATCAGAAAGAAGTTATCCAAAATATTTTATAACTCACCAGAATTTCCACTTGGTGCTAGTTCTTCCTCGGGTGCTTTCAGGGACCGAATGTACAGATAAATGCTCAATGCCAAAGAAAAAGCTGCAGCTGACACTGCAAACTGCATGAAGTGATCATACAAATAATGAAGTTCAAACTGAAAGTATAATAAAATTCCAATAGCTGCAGCAGTGAAAATAAAAGCATAAAACCCTAAAGGATGTAGAAAAAAAGACGTATTAGTCAAAATAAAAAAAATACCTCTCTAGTAGAACCTCCCCAGTCCAAGCTTTCTGCATTTTCCTTTCTTCCAAGATTTGTTCATATTCCAATAGTCTTACATATCCCATGCTCTCAGTCCAGACTTCTGGGGCACAGCAATTTACCTAAGAGACTCTAAGCCCTGAAATTTATTGTGCTCCTCTTCAAAAGGACAAGAGGGAGGAACACTCTGAGCACTCCTACATTTTTTATAACACAGGATCTAATTTCAGTGGAAAAATAAACACTGGCACTACTAACTGATAACAGCAGGTTACAAAATCTTATCAGTGTGACAACTCAGATAACCATATTTTCATCTTTGAGTTTTCATACATACCTTGATACAGATAGCACTTACTAAACCATTAAGTAACTATCAACTCAAAACTTGAACACAAAACTTTTGTAGCCTTTGAGAGTATCAAACCATGTGGAATGGATTGATGCCCTAACACGAGCAGGCAATTCTATACTGCTCTCATGTAAGGACCTTCTGTGAACCCTTTCACAGGGTCACAGTGGCTGAGGTTAGAAGGGACCTCCAGAGCTCATCTAGTTTAGTGCCTCCTGATGTTCAGATGGAACCTCCTGTATTTCAGTTTGTGCCCACTGCCTGTCACTGGTCCTGTACCATAAAAGGTATGAGATAACCTCAACGTGACTCACTTCTGCAGGCTGTAATTCCTCGTTTCCAAGATTTACAGCCACATTCTGCCTTTAAAATGGTCCATCTTAACAGATTATGTTAAACCTCAACTTTTTAATTTAACATTTGGATTCCACTACTATCAGACAACGCCCTTGAACTGTCTAAATCAAATAGGTAGACTGGAGTACGTTCAAAGCATCAAAGTACACTTGCCTATTAAGGTCAGAAAAAGCAGAACTGCTGAAGTACACTAAACCATACTCCTGAACTAGATGAGAAACTTGCTTTATTCATAGGAAGTGAAATCAGTTCTAATTAAGGGCTCTAAACTGTTCTTTGACAGGTAGGAATAAGAACATCTTAAATCAATTACAACATACTTCTTATTAGCCTGTAAATCAGAGACATCCAAGATGACTGAGACACATGGGATGAGATCTCTTCAGATCACTCCTCCTGAACAACAGCCTTTGTCACATGAGCATCACTAACACTTCCTGACAGATATGACAGGAGTCACAAGTGAATGCGGATCAGGTGCCCTGTATAGCGTAATGTCTCGCTCTTGGGGCAGTTAGTTCTGGATGATTAATAACCATCTTCTTCTAAGAAAAGGCTCACCCTAGGTTATGACAGATTTACAACACGTACATTTTGACCATAGAATGTATCTTTCATAATTTGTGCAAATCACATAATGGAATTAATCCTAGAATAAGCAACTGCAACATGCTTACCATTTATCCGGTACTGTAGTTTCTTTCCATTTGAAAGAGGCAGGCCTTCTACAACCTAGGAAGAGTAAAACACTAGTGTTCAACAAAGTACTTTCTGAGAGCACTGGTGGGGGAGGAAATCAAGTACATCTCTGCCAGAAAGACATTCAAATCAAGGTAACCAGCTGGACACAATCAAATCTGAGGACTGTTCTAAAAAAACGTACTTTGGATATCAAAAGGGTAACAGTTTCAATTAAAAACATTTTAGAAAAATAAATCTCTTCCTAACCAGCTTCAAGAAAGCAGAGCTGCTCCAATTATTGTAAACTACTTTAGTGTCCCTTCAGAATCTGCTAGTAGCCCTAACATCACAAAAGAAGGCAAAAGAGCATTTGCCTGATATACATATGGCTAGAATGGTTTATAGCTTTCTGTAAATGAAGATTATATTCTAAAACTTTGGATAGCCATAAGAAATTGAGTATCAAACAGTTTGTGAGTTTAAAGGTCAGATACCTGAAATTCTTCTAGAATTCTATCAAGTTTTATTCATGCTTTGATCTGAATGCCTATATAATGCTTTCTGCCTCTTCTACTGAAAGACTCTGAAATGCACGAATTCTTAACAAACTGTGGTCTTTTAAGTGTACAGAAATCTGCAGTAGCCATATTCCAGATTATGGAAAACTAATTGCTTTTAAATTTGCTGCATTAAGAACACACCCCACCCTCCAGCCCAATGTACAGATGCCCATGTTAATGCCCATTAATCCCCAGCTGCTACCAAACAGCCTACCTTTCCAATTGGCAGCAAGTAGAACAGAGCTTGAAGGAAAAACCACAGAAGAAAAATACCAAACGCCCTCGTCTCCCAAAGACTTTCAAGTGCTGGGAGAGGAGGGAAGTTCATAAGACTGGGGTCATCTTGTTTACACAGCAACAGCAAGTACAATACAGTAGCAGGCAGGAGAAACATCAGCATGAAGGTCCCTGTAAACAGACATCATGGAATATTAGAAGATAAACATAGAAAGTTAAAAAATATAGTTTCAATCCCACTTAAAAAAAAAAGCTTGATATTAACTTTAGTAACAAAGAAAAGGCTGTCTATCTATTCCTGAAGCAAGACAGCAGCAATCCCTAGTCATGTAATGGTACAGAGACATTCTTCTCACTTCCACACAAGGTCATCCATCTACTGAAGGATCACACACTGCATCCCCTTAAAACTGGTCGAAAAACTACATAAAGAACACTTTACTATCAAGTTCAAAGCACCTAAGTTTCAAAAATGTAAAACTTTCGCTTGTTAGTTTCTTAAATCTAATTTAGAAATATTTAGACCTCACTGTGCAAGAGATGGCACAAGATCTTCACTGTATTTCACATGAGAACCAATGTAATAATGGTTCTTGGCCATCATATCAAGTGAGGCACTATCATACCACTCTGAATTCTGCAAACCAGGGTCCAACAACTGGAAAAACCGTTCTCGTCATGACAGTATGGTCAGTAAGTAAAAAAACCCACAAAGTAGTACTAATTTTCAAATATTAAAAGACAGTTTGCACACACACCAATTCTTCCCCCAAACTCCAGCTCCTTTGTTTTTGATGGAGCTTTCTCAATTGGTTTTAATGCCGTAAAAATCTTTTTCTCCGAATATATCTCTTCTTTCTTCTTTTCATCTTTCCTTGAACGCAGGCTGTACTGTTCAAAATGCTTTACTTCCAGGTCTGGTTTTAACTTTTGCTGTTAACGAATAAAAATAAGTTACTAAAATGATTCCCAGTGATTTTACCTTATTTTACTCCAGTATTTTATATTTCAGAAGACATTATTCACTATAAAACACCAATGTACAATGTCTTCTACTTCTTTACAGTACTTAAGTTTATGCATTCACATGAAGGGACTGCTAAAACCAGAGTCATTGTGACCACCTATGCTGTGATTCACATATCAGCAGCAGTTCCAGCACAGATCATGCATTCCCACCCTCCTCCTTTCCCTTCTGCAATAACGCTGTGCATTAACTAACAATTGGGACTAAAGAGTTGATTTGGCTAAATTTAAAACACTTTCCACAGTCAAATATTCACACTGTAAAAGCATCAGAATGAACATAAGTTACCAGAGATGGTTCAATGGAAAAAAGAAAACAAACCAAGAAAAATGAATGTTATGCAGTTCTAGTACTTTTCCCTTCCCAACTTCACCTCCCTCTCCCCTGAAATTTGCTTGCTGGACAGCAAATCTGCTTGACCACAAAGTTTTATATTGCATTCTATTTCTGCCTGATTATTGTAGTGCCTCTGTCTATGAATTTCTGAGACAGCTAAGTTTGAATGCAACATCAAACTACAAGCAAATACAATGTTCATACCTCCAAGATTATGCAGGATGTGTCATTTTTTTCCGTATTTTCAGGTTCACCGTTGTACCTTTTGGTGTTATTCTCACTCGGCTTCTGGTTAAGAGAAGAAATATAGTTTTAGCTTTCTGAAAATAAAAGCTGCATTAAGTGTGAGTGTATAATGAATAATTAAGAACGCTGTCTAGTTTTTTTTTTGTCAACTGCAACTGCTCTGGTTTTCTCCACAGGAAAACAAGTGGGTTCAATATCCAAAGTACAGACAGTTTCAGTTCACAAACAGGAAGAGGAAAAGGTTATTTTCTTTTTTAATAAACTGCAAAATTAAGAGAGAATACAGCTTCCAGGTTATTTTAACTCATCACTAGGAACTGCCAAATATAAAACACATGTCTATTCAATAATGCTAGTGGCAAGCAGAGAAAACTTCAGTGTCCTATATATGGCACTGCTCTGCAGGACTGAGAGTTGGTTTTCCATTAAATATCTTTGAAGAAACAAATTGTCTTACAAAAATTCTTTTAATGAGCCTAGCTTACACAACTCTGGGAAGACACAACTCATGTGTTCTGTTTCATTTCATCCCAAGCTCGGCTGAAAAGGATCGGGTCATCCCAGTTGTACAACAACCAATAGTTGCATCCTACTCCTCAAGTAGAAGCCATAAGAAAAAACCAAAAGATATTTTAACCTTTTTGTCCTAAAAGGTACAAGAAGTACAAAAACTAAGTGTAGCTGTTGGCTATAAACTACTTAAAATGAGCACATGGTCCACAGGCCATGCACTGGGTCATAGAGCTCAAAGCACTTCACTGCAAATCAAAAACCACAGCAATTTCTGTGCCAAAGAGTGCTTTCAGTAGTAGCAATATAGTGAACCTATCTGTTTAGTTTAGATTGATCTGGTTTAGTTTAGCTGAAACCCAACTAACACCTGTCTATTTTTAACAGGTCAGCAGAAGAGATTTCTAGTTCAAGGGACTGTCTTGGTCAAGTGAGGAGCTATCTCAAGGGCACAAGAGGCAGAAGAAATGCTGTTTGTTTCTTAATAGAGAAACATCACCTCTACTATTCTTCACTTACAGATCACCAGAACCATTTCTAACACTCATTCTGAATTTTCACAAAAATGTCAAGAACAAACACAATAAACTTCAGTTAAACATCAGGTATTTGATAAACTTTGAAATCCTTACAGGACATTTTCATAATGCAAACAGTTCTGCAATAGTATCAATCAGCAGGGAAATATTTAAATGTTCCACACTTGAATTCTACAACAGTTCTCACACAGAAGCTGCACATTTTTCATTACTATTGTAAATGAACTGTATATGATAATAGAACTCATTTTATTTAAAATTCTAATACCTCCCTGCTATGTATTGATCAAAACATCTTAAAAATATGCTAACTTCCTTTGCCCCATTTCACAAGTAGAAGCACATGACTAACAATGATTTAATATTAAAAGATAAAAAGAATTTGTGTGTGTTTGGATTCTGAGAACTTCACAGCAAATTCAAACAGAACTTGATAACGTAGGTGTACATTTCAAGAATTTCCTCAAACTCTGAAAGCCAGAAACCCTGTTTTCAAAGACAAAAAAAACGTAGTTCTCAGATACACTTTTGCAGCTAATTATGTTGTTCAAGGAACATCACATCACCTACAGCTGGCCTTTACCACGATAAACCCAGTACATACGAAACCAAACTTTCACAAATAGCAAAAATTTGAATTTAGAAAAAAATCCAGCAAGCCCCCCCCTCCCCCAAAGAACAAACAAAATGAATACCGCTGGTAGAGCTAAGCTGGTTTCCTGAATGGTTTTCTTTTTGTCATCTTTATGTTCTCTGCTTTGGGAAGTAGAACGACGTCGCCCTCTCCCTGGTCGACCAGGAGACCTGGATCGAGATCTGCTGGTGCTTCTTCTGGAGGGAGAGCTTGAGGAAGACTGGCTCTTCCTGTGCTTGAATGATGACTGAGACTAAAGGAAAGCGGGGAAAAAAAGCACAATCTTATCTATGTTCCAAAGAACAGTGTTAGAAACAAGGTGGGTTTTTTTGTAACAAGGGCCCTGGCATACAGCTCTGTGGATTTGTCTCTAATTTCCTTTACTGATGCTGAACAAAGCCTGTTAAAAAGGAGCAACTGCAGCATACTCATTTTGCTGGTAATTCCCAAACAATCCTGTCCCAGGTCCAACTGCTTCTGACAATCCCTATCAGAACTACAGAAATCAAGGTATGGATGTAAACTACCAACGTGAGCACCAAGCCCTTGGGCCTCTCAATCCTTTGCATAAGGAAGTGAATTGACAGTTGTCTCTTAAGCCCTAAGAGACTGCTCTCATTTCCATATTTCCACTACTCAGCTTTATTAATGCATTTGACATTGCAAGATGTCATCACCTGTTTAAGGCAACACAGATCAAATCAACACTAAAAAAATCCAAGTCAGCTAATTCATTTAATTAGATGTGATAACTAATTTCATAAACGGTTTTCCACAAAAGTATTGTTTGATTTCTCTGTTTCCCATGTAACATTTCCAGAATGCAACTTTTGTAATGCACAAATGTTTCATGACAACAAAACGCTTTTCCTCAGTTTGAGTTTGCTAACCTGCAAGCAGAGAGTAACAACAGGTTAGAAAGTCCTGAAGCAGTGATTACCCCAAGGCAGAAACATTTTGGTTCCAAACTAAAAGGCCAGTTACTGGGCATGCACACTGCCACCAAGAAGTGAAACTACAGTTCACATAAAGACACGTTATGCAGGTTTCAGAACAGGCCACAAAAATCCACTACAGTGAACATTCAAACAGGGTTTTTTTTTTTCTCACGCATTATCATATTTTAAACTGAAGTGAAAATTGAAATATGGAGTTTTAAAGGCCTTTATTAGTAATAAAAATGAAATAATAAAGATATGTAAAGAGGAAGGAATGTGCTCACATGCATATGCCATGAACCTTTCTCAAGAGTTTCTAAATGTCATAAATGTAGCAAAATACCTTAAGGAGCCTTTGAGGACCTAAAGCAGGCCAAGCTATTTGCAGATGCTTTAAGTATGTGCTTAAAGGGCACACACTATTTATATTTACAGTGATCCTGAACTACAGGTTTCCATTTGTTTTCAAATTTTCTTCTTTAAAGGTGGAAAAACATCAAATTAGCATCAGCCCTCTGATTACTGCCTTTATAAGGCACCCCAAACTGATTTTTCATGAAGAATGGTGTTATAGAGTTCCCAAAGATCAGTCTTGTTTTTCCCCAAACGCATCACTGGTTTTTTTTCAACACAAAGCAAACAATCAGGCTTCTTTAAAGATGGGGTTTCAGAACTTAACTACCTGAGAGGTCCCATAGGAAAAAGCTAATATTTAACATCAATTCCTTGAAGAAACAGTTAATAAAAACTTGTAAAATGACTATCCAGTCCTGAGTTGTACTTTTAGCGACATCACAAAGTTGGTGTCATCTCCCACTAGAAGCAGTGACACTTACACACCCGTGTACTCACCCTTATATCACTTTCTTTCAGTGCAAGTTCAGTTCCATCTTTGTACTTGACAGTATAAAGATGAGCAACATCATCATAACTGGTCACTTGTACTTCATAGTACAGGACACTTCCTGGCCAACGGCCCATCACCACCTCGCCATCAGCATACCTCCGGCTGGGCATTTTCCAAAAACAATCCCTGGAAAATAAATCAGTCAGTGCACGTGACAGCTAAACATTAGGTTTCATTTCCCCCTACTCTCTTTCTGTATCATTTAGGCTGGAAAGGGGAAACTTTAAACAACTCTCCACTTTAAACAGACGAAAAGTTACGTGACGAGAAAACAGCAATTATCTATTTTCCAAATAGAGTGAAGACTGAAGATACATATTCTGGGAAACTGTTCAAATGTATTAGACTAGTACTCAACTATGATACACAACCTCCATCACCAGGCAGAGCACATATTTGACCAAAATTACATAATGCAGTTCATCTTATCTAGAGGGGGAAATGCAAATTAGATGGTATTTAGGAGTCCTCTAAGCCACTTTCCCTGTGGTTACACTGATATTACAGATGTGATGATTTCTAAACATTAAACATTCCCAATCTCTTCGACACTTACATTTTTTGTCACATTACATTTTTTTTTTTCAATTTATTATGCCAAACATTCGAAAGTTAGGAAGCTTCAGAATTCAGGCTCCTGTCTGGGCAGAGTTATTTTCTCTTTTCCACCCATTTAGCACAAGGCTTGTACTGCCTTTTGCAGGGGCCCATAGGAAAACAAAGTACAGTATCAGAGCAATCACACAGTAACCTGAAAAACTAAATTCTATCCCCCTTTCAGCACCACAAGGTTTTTAGTTGGTATTAGCAAAACATGGTGCAAGTGACCACTACCCTTGCTTCACCACACCGAGTGCTGGGAAAAACCCCACAACTACAATTTACAGAAAATTGCTTTTAAATATAAAGTCCCATATAACTGTTTGTAAAATGCTTTGTATTGTGTCATTGCCTTCTGAAAATAAATATCCAAAGCAGAACATACTTTTAACCTGAATTTCCTAGTCTCAGGTCTCACATATCAAGTGAGGCTACCTTAAAAGTCTAAGGTAAAATACATACCAATGTATGTAATAGCACCGTCTGTACAGCAAATACAGGAACTTAGAATGGGTGTTTGCTATAAATAAGATGTGAAGCCACACAAACTGAGGTGAAAGCAAGTATTTAACTAGATACTAGATAACTAGGTACTCATTCATTACACATTAACTAACCTGCAAGATTAGATTCTTGCAGGATGGGGCTCAGTGAGGTTTTTTAATCAACATTCATTCTGGCATTTTCCAAAGCTGCTGCTGTTAAGTTTTTACACCTGTGTAGCTCTCCAAGTCAAAGAAACGAAAAACTCAGCAAAACTCCCTCATATGGATTTTACCACTAATATTCCAAACTGCTTCAGAACAGAAACATCTGGCCACCTCCTCTGCTGTAAAACATTTGCAGGAGAAAAAAGTAAGTTTTATAATTTGATTTCACTGACACTTGCCAGTTGGAAAATTTATCAGAGTTCTAGTCTATGCTTGTAGGAGCTCTTTCAGCTCCTCTGCCTTCTAACTAGTGTTTCTTGTCACAGTTTCCTGGTAATGTCTTATTCTTTCTGAATTCTCACTCCTTTGACTGTTTTATCCCAGTCAGTTTAACCCACTCAAATACACAGCCCTCTTTCTGATGACTCCATGAAATACAACTTCCATATTTTTATTTCAAATTCTTCATTCACTCCTTTTTCCCCCCATTCTTTCAGCATTTCCTGTCTTTTCTGCCCTTGTTCACCCAAGCAGTTCCAGTCCCTCTTTGCCACCTCTGGGCTCAAGCCTGATCTCAATCCCCATAATGTCTCCTTGGCCAGTTTTCTCACCCAAAAGACAGTTCCTCAGCAGATCCACGTCTACTACTGCTCTTTCCCCAGCCTCCCACAATTACAGCTTCCTCCTTCTCTTCCATAAATAGTCTAAATACCGGTCCTCCAGCTTTCACTAGATGTCATAACCTCACACATGACTTCATTTCCTCTCTGCTGTTGTACTTCCTACACTCCAGCCAACCGTTTCTTCTCTTGACCTGGAGCACCTCAGCCATCATCTGTAAATTTAGAGCCTGACCAGGACAAAGGTGGCAGATCCTCAGACACAGGTGTGAAATACAGAACCTTTGGAGGGTAAGTCCTTTTTGCAAAAGGGAAAGTTTTTTCAGAAGTTGTTATTAAGGACACATACACTGATTTTTACAATTTTTAACAACCACTTCAAAATTTCGATATGAAATGCAATTCTCTGCTAGACTTCAAAATCCAACAGTTTTGTATGCCAACATAAAAACAGCCCAAAGAAGAGGTAACCTGATGATTTAATTCTTGTGAAAGGCAGGAAGACCTTCCCCTCCTCCAACTTGGTTCTAAAAAGAAGCTGGTTAGTTTTAAGAAGTTGAAAAATGTGGTTGGAAGACCTGTAACTAAATCAATGTTATGTAATTCAGCCCGATGTAGATACCACTGATATGAAATTCCTGATTAATAAATAACTTCAAGCAAGTGCAAATATTATCCTCTGACTCAAAAGTAATGGACAATCTTATTAATGGGAAAACATTTTCCAATTCTTTTCCTTAAATATTAAAGCTTAATGATAAGCTCAAACATTAAACACTAAAAGAAGTAAATATAACTTCTTACCCTATCAAAAGTAACCACCTTGTTCTGCACCCCAGCTCCTCCTCATTCCTTCTATCCCACTTCTAAAAGCTACACCGTTTAAAGGCAGCCTTCATCTGTTCAGATAACAGACATGATTACTGACATCAAAAAAAGTAAAGACAGAGAGTCTTTAAAAAAAACACACCTAAGACATTACATTTTGAATTTACTGCTCTTTCAAGCTCTACACACACCCCTGGTAATCTTCAGGGTATCAGCTGGCATCAGCCTAATGTTGACAGTAGTCCTACACAAGACTTTCAATTCACAGGGCTTCAAATTATGTATCCAAGGAAGATTATTTCATATGATGAATCCTGTGCTGTACAGACATCAGATTGCAACTGTAGTTATCTATGAGATGAAATCTGTGTTTTCTGCACCATTATTATTTTCCTTTAGAAACCCTGACTCAAAGGGAATGGAAAAAAAAGATTTTGTATCCTATACCAAGCAAGATAATTAACACAAAACTCCCTGGAGGTTAAAAGTTAGCCAAGAAGGAAAGGTACTGCTGACTCAACCAAGAATGGAATAAGTAAAGAGAAACATGGCTGAGAAACATATTACCCCATGAATCCACTTCTGGTCTATCTTAACAGCACTCTCACTAGAGATGTGGAAAGATATTTCACTGTGGAGAAAATAAGACTGCCAGCTTGCAGCCACTGGAAGATCATACCCCATCATCAGAGGTTGGGTACCCAGTTTTAAGAATACATAAATAAACACTAAACAAGCTTTCCCTCTTCGAAGATCAAAGTTCACACATATTACGTGGTTCCACTTAGCAGTTCTGGGACCTCACCACTGCTAGATAATGTTCTCTATATCAGAGGAAGAAGCCATTTGAATGCAAGAAGAAATGCAGGAGAAGAGAACACTGACAGTCGAGGGTAACAAGACAGACTGCACGGAAAGTTGCTACTGGATTCACCAGGGACTGAGCTGTGCGGGACCTTTTCAGCATCACCACTACACTCTCCACATTTCCACCTCTTCACCTCCAGACGGTGGAGGGACCTCCCCCTGTCCAAGCCAAATCAGCGCCACCACTACAAACAAGCACACATCAGCCTCAAAGCAAAAATAACAACCCATCAAGCCCGGGGCTGGGAAACGAGGGATTTCCCCTTTAAAGAGGCTCTCCAGCGGAAGCACGGCGAGCGGTGGAACGCGGCAGAAACTCTCGCTCCCCGCGCAGGGCCCGGCCGGCGGTGGCGGTGGCGGCGGCGGGGCGCTGTTGACAGGAAGGGACCCACGTGCCGGGCAAGGCCCAGCCCCCCGGCCCCGCCCCGCCCGCGCTCCCGGCCCGGGCCTGGCGCGGGGCCTCCGCCGCGGGGGAAGGGAGGGGCCGCGCCGCCCCTCGGCGGCCTATCCCGGCGCAGGGCCCGGCGCGGCGGCGAACAAAGCGGGGGCGCCCGGCCCCGCCAACCCCGGGGCCCGAACTAGCGGCCCGCGCCGCAACGCCGCTCCGCCGCGAGAGAGGCCCGAGCGCGGCCGCGGCGGCGATCGGCGGGAGCGCTTCCCCGCCACGGGGAAGGCCGCGGAGGGAAAGCCGTGGGGAGGGGCTTGGGCGGGCGGGGGGGGGGGTGTGTGTTGTCCCGGCCCGCGCGCGGCGCCATCCCCGTTACCTGGAGCCCGCCCGCGCGGGGCCGGGCCGGGCCGGAGGCGGATCCGCGGAGCGGCGGGAGCGGGGCCCGAGCGCGCGCCGCGCTGCGCTGAGGGAACAACCGCCCCGCCGAGCGACGGTTACGGCCGCGCGCACGGCCCCGCCCCCTCGCCCGCCCGCCAACCGCGCCCATTGGCCGCGAGGCGCCGTTTGAATCGCGGGGTGGCCGCACGCCATTGGCCGGCCGCACGATGGCGCGGTCCGGCCCCCCCCCCCCCCCCCCCCGTGGGGCGCGCGCACGGCCCCGCCCCGCCGTGAGGGTGGCGAGGGGGGAGTGGAGCGCCTTGACCGCCCCTCCCGCCTCCACTCAGGGCGGCCGGGGGAGGATGGCTGGGAGGGAAGGTCGCTGTCGTTGTCGCTGTCGTTGCTGCTGTCGGTGGGGGCAGGCTCAAGCCGCCTGCGCCACACAGGCCCGGCCGCAGGATGGTAAACAAAACCCCTGTTTTGTTTACGGAGCACTCGCGGTCTCGCCACCTCAAGAGCCGCCTCCGGCACCGCGAGTGCTCCTGCACTGGCCGAAGAACAGGCTGTGCTCCCTGCAGCCCTGCACCTGCAGCATTCAGCAACGCCAAAATGTAGTAAAAAGGCAGTAAACGTACTTCTCTCTCTCAAAAAGAAAAATAAAAAAGTGTGGGGGGGAAGCGTAGGCGGCGAGACCGCCAGTGTTCCTACACTGACCGAACAACAGGCTGTGCTACCTCCAACACTGCACTTCCAGCAGTAAACAAAAGCAGAATGTGGTAAAAATGAGGTAAAAAGACACTAAAAATATCCCCAATCTCTCCAAAAGAAGAAAAGGGGCGGAGGGGGGGGGGAAGCGGAGGCGGCTTTTGAGGTGGCGAGACCGCGAGTGCTCCCACAGTGACCGAAGAACAGGCTGTGCTCCCTGCTGCCCTGCACCTGCAGCACCCAACAAACCCAAAATATGGTAAAAATGCAGAAAAACCAGCCCCTCTCCCTCCGAAAGAGAAATAAAAAAGGGCTAAAAACCAGCAGCATGTGGTTACCCTTGTCCTTTTGAGGCAACTTTCTCAGAAGTGCCATTCGAGTTCTTGGCCAGATTTTGAAATCAGGAAGTCTAAGCAATATTTGAGTGGGCAGATGAAAAATGGGTTGTGAAAAAATTAACACATTGTTCTTAACAGTGAGGTTTAGTGTTCAAATAAGTTGTTTCCAGTATAGGGATCTTAAAAGTGATGAAGTGCTTTAAGTGTGAAATACAGTCGTGTTTGTGTCTGCACGATCTTTATGGACCTCCCAAATTGTCTGAATTTGGGTACAGGCTGACAAGTGATACTCTGTTCTAATAAAGCTTTCTAAATGAAGGAAAATTCCCTAAAGACAAGACCACCATTGTCCCATACAGAAAACTGGCAGACACAGCAAAAATCCCACATAGAAAGAAACACCAACCAACCAACCAACCAACAACAATTTGTTGTTGTTTGTTTGTTTGGGGGGTTAATTTTGTAGTTATAATGTTTGAATTAAGAGTAAGTATGGCAAGCTTTTTTTCCCCTAAGTGATTGCAGGAAATGGGCATTCATGTGTGGATTATTTAAAAATATATATATTTTACTATTTATTCTGTCTATTTTGGCCTTGAAATTTTTAATTTTCACAAGCAAATTTTAAAAAATTTTATTTTGTGTCTCTCCTATTTTTATACCAAAGAGGTCCAGTCACACATTCATTGTATTTTTTACTATGTGATGCAGTAAGAGACGTTTAAATGAGATTAAAAGTTACTCAGTCAAACAAGAATCACGTGTAAATATAGATTTTAATAAATGCAGCCAGAATAAATTTGTTCTTTAGTTTAAAGCAATCAGCTTTATCTAAGAGACATTTGATAATTTACTATGCAAAAGAATGCAAGTGAAGCTTAATTTCTGACTTCAGATAATGTATATTTTGGTTCCAGCTAAGATTTTTGCTATATTACTATTGCACAGTTTACAACCATTATGTTAAAAACTGTTTTCAGTAGTTGTCTAAATTACAGTAACTATTCCTTGGAGTGAGCCTGCTTCATTTTGTTGGCAGAAGAATCCTACAATTAATATGCTTAAACATGAAGGTTTTCAGTTGAAATCTCGTTTAGAGAATAAACTTGCCTTCAGAGAAATGGTTTTGGTTTGGAATTGCTTACTGAACCCAGATTAGAAACCTACTGGGCCATTAAGAACTGTTTATTGCAATTCTGCCAGTGATAATTGGTATACAGTTGAGAGATTATTTCAGAAATATTTATGGGACCATCACAGGACAACTAATAAATGGGACAAATAGGAAATCCAGTCAGGACCATGACCATCAAAATGATATTACCTGTGCACTGCTGCAAGTTAGGTTTCCAGTGTTTGAAATTTGCCTATATCTACATAAAACATCTCAATCTCACAACATAAAACTGAGAAAATAATTCTCTAGGCTTTCATTTTAATGAGAATAACAGAATCATCAGGGTTGGACAAGACCTTCAAGATCACCCCAACACCACAATAATCCCCCTAAACCATATCCCCAAGTGCCACATCCAGAGACACTTTCAGAGACAGTGACTCTTCCAGAGAAGAAAAACACCTTTCCTACTCTGATTCCTGTCTCCAAAATGCTCTTCAGCTGAAGGCAGAGAACGGGGCAGGGGTTTGGGAGGAAGCCATTCAAAAAGCAATGGGAAGTGAGTGTTAGCTATGACAAGACTCAGGAGAATGGTGGAAAACAACACGATAACCAAAAATGGGATCATTTCAGTCTTCTCTAGCAAGGGCCAGGAAAAATTTCATCAGGTGTAAGTTATGGTTCTGAAGTGTCCTCAGGACACACACTTAGCAGTAAAAATTGCTTAAGGGAAAATATAAGCAGCTGGTGACGTAAAATTTCAATATGAATAATATTGTCTGCACTCTGTAAAATCTGAGTATATCCAAGGGAAATCTGGGGTTTTCTATAGGATTGATGTCTCAAGTAGCTCTAAGTGACAGCCAGGGATAGTCCTACAGTTTATGCTGCTTGTGTGGTGTTACTTAAGTAGTCCCAGGGAGTTCAGTTGTACTGTCTGGCCTTGGCAGAACAGGTTGACTTTACAGAGGAACTCTCTCCAAACAATGAATCCCTCTGGAGGTTCTGAATTTCTGCCTCTGGAGGCACTGAATTTAGTATTTCAAGATATTAAGATATTAAAATACCTTTAATTTAATAAAATTTTTAAAAATCCCATTGGTATATTAACTCTAGCTAACATCCCAAGATTTACAGTTCAGAATTGGTGACCATTGGAGTCTCCTACATTGTTATTAACCAGTTGGTTATTAACAGTTGGTGCCTGTGATATTACGAATTGCTGGCATTACTATGTGTACTGATATTTAAGCCAACCCATCTGAACACACATAACTGTGTGCTTTCTCAACATCATATGAAAACAGGTATCACAGTAGTCCTCAGACAAGTCAAGTCTGTGGAATTAAATTTGGGTTATAGCTAGCCTCTTTTTTTAGTTAATGATGTGTAGATACTTCTTGAAACATTAAATTTTACTCTAAATCCTTTTACCTTTATTTTGCATAGTTGCTTAATAATATTTGCATATTCAATATCTATCTTGCATTTTTTGTCCTCCTATTTTTGATTTTACCTGAAAATGTTTGTGGCTGACAAATAAAATCATCTCAGAAGTGTTCTCGTTCCAATAGCATTTAGAGACCAAATAATGAACTAAAATTCCATTGACTAGGCAAAAAAAATTCTTACAGTCATTTTCACACTGTTTCTGTCCATCTCTTATTTCTTCTGACGTAATAAGATGGAGATTTTCATTTTTTTAGATATAAATATTAAAAGACGACAATTCTGATACCAGTACCTATCTTTCGTCGAATGTAACTCACTTTAAATTGACGAAATCAATATTCAGGAAATACAACCTTAACACACTGCACAGTGCTGGCCATGAACTCCCCTAAATTTGTTTTGCTCTGGAATACTTACAACATTTCTGGTCAAAGTTAATCTTTTTCTGTCCGGCAGCCAGATCTGACAGCCCATGGCTGTCTGGGGAACTCCCATGTGTCCCTACCACACCTGTACTTAAGACAAGTATTATTGTTACTTTGTTATTATACCATTTTTAATAGGTTTTGTGAAAGGTTGCAAAAACAAGTCCTAAAAAGCTGCCAGCTTAAGAAGGTTGAGAAACATTGTGATAAATGGCTTCAGCAGGGGCTATGGAGGTGGGTGGGGTAATTCAGCTCCCGTTTCCTCTCCTGATTAGCCCTTTGCCTCTCTGGAAGAAAACACCCATAAGACTCAGAGTAAGGTGGCATTTTTTGTAGGCTGTTAAGCAACCCATTTATGCATAGATGTGTGTGTATATATAAATGGGTAGGTATGTGTATATACTATATAGACTTTTGTGTATATATATGCACACCCTATATGCTTTCTCTTTCTCTGTAGTGTTATATTTGATCAAAACATCCTAGCCTATGCAGTGAAA